GTTTGCCATCTGCTGCCAGCCTGCAATCCGAACCCGTTCTCAACCGCATCCAAATAGGTCTTGAAATACCAGGCCGTAGGGTCCATGTAGGGCACAAACAGCTCTGACGTGAACCCTTTGTACATGTCGTTCCTCATCTCCCCTGTATCTGGATCCCTGGATCCCTGACTTTTGCCCGAGAAATGATCACCCCTGTTTCGGGTCTGCTTTCAGGTGGAATTCCCAGTTCGCCTATTTCACCATGTGCTCATCTTCAACCACAAAGCTCGGACCTTTTGGCTGCTCGATGGATATCGGGTTTACCAGGTTCAGTTTCTGCTGCCGCGCCGAGTACCGATAGTCAGTGTTGGTGGCCTTGGGGATGGGGATATTCCGACCCTGGTCCAAAATTTCCAACACCTCTTTGGTGTCCATGTCGAGGAGGACGATCAGGCCTTCGATAGGCCTCATGTAGAAGTTTGCAGTGTCTTTCTTGGTGTAGCATCCTATCTTAATTAACCTCCTACCCTCCTCTTTCTTCCCATACCATCCTAACGACATCGGCAAGCAAGCCAGGTCAGCCAAATCAACACTACGGTCGTTGACGGTATGGTTGAACTCGGCGTTGGACAGGGGAGCCCAAATGGTGGAAGTCAAGTCCTCAAACGTTAAGGTAGGATGACCGGAGAGAGGGACGGTGTTGTGAACCTTGACTCGAGTGGTTTCCAAGTTGACAGTGAGGAGATGTGAGTGTCCGTTAACACGCGCGACAACAGAGGCGAGTCTGGATGGAAGAGTGTCTCCCTTTGTCCACCGGATGACTTTCTCTTTGTCTTTGTGGGGCTCTTCTAGATCGACCGAGTGGAAGGCGTAAGAGCTGGAGGAGTTGAAGAGGGCATGGGAGGAGAGGATGGAGCGGACCGTGTGTTGATTTCTTTGATGGTGAGAGGGTCGAGAGGGTGATTGGGGGTGTCGGACACAAGTGGTGGTTTATTGGATTGAAGACGGATACACAAGGGGGATGGGGAGTTGGTGGCGCAGTCTATGAGGGCAGTGACGTCGGGTGGGGAAGCGAAGGGAAGATGCGTCCATGTGAAAAGAAATAGGAAGGCTATATCAATGAAGAGAGAGAGCAAGCGAAGAGAGGCTCTAGATTCCATGGTTTGGAAAATGAGGGTAGGGTGGGCAGTAGTGAAGATGGTGAGAGTGGAGAGGTGATGTTTCTAAAGATGCGTATGAGTGTCATGATTAATACGTACGGTGTGGCAGTGAAACAAGAAAAAAAAAAAAACAAAAATGGCAGATTGTCTTGAAGCGTTATAAATAATAATAATAATGCAGTCTTGTTTGGAGTTCCACTTCCCCTCCCTCCTCAATAATTATTAATATTCAGAAACAAGTATAAAATCTCTCTTTTTCAGGGACGAGAAGATTTGAAAGGCATCAAAGACCAAAATTGGTCTCCTCCTCTAGCAGAGATCATGAGAGTATCCTCTATGCCTTAATAATAAAAAAAGTCTCTGTTTTAGGGATCAAGAGAGATTCGGAATTACAAAACCATTTATTATAATGAAAACAGTAGATACATATGTTGTCCTAAAAATTAAAATATAAATATTGTAATTAAAGTTTATTTAATTTGTAATTTAAAAATACATAATAAAAGAGTGTAATAAATATATTTTTATAAGTAATTCATATAAAAAATTACAAAATTTGACAACATATATTTTTACGTCACTATAACATGCGAATTATTTTGATTAATTAATTGATTAAATAAAAATTAATATTTACACTTTTAATAAAATTTAATTTAAAAAATATATTTATTATACTTTTAGGATACAAGATAAAAAAACTCTTATAATTATAATATTGCATAATTTTATATTGATTAAATTATATTAAATAAATAAATAAATATAATATCATATATAAAATTTTTAAATAAAAAAATTAATCATATAATTACATGTCATAATTATAAATTTATAATATTACCTAACATTATAACTAAATCAATTTTGATTTCATTGTAACGTTCCCGTTGGAGGCATGAGTATTATCCAGTAATGCAATAACCGATCATCCGTAAGGGACTGATAAGTTTTTGTACTTTTGAAAGCAAAATTTCTTGAAAAATTAGTATGAAATAGGAATGGGTATTTAGTGTTAAGTTTTTAGATCTTACTCGTGGGTCAGTGGGATCAAGAACGCTTGGTGGTTCTTATTCTCAGATTGGTGCCAAAATCCTGCAGGTAGCAACAAAGGGAAAGGATAAGGGGATCTGGTTTAGGAGGCAGATCAATTGTTTTGACTTGAATATTTATTTATTTATTTTTCTGAACGGCTTACAATTACAAGTAAAAGGATTCGAACCATTATCTTTGAGTTGAGGGGATACACTTTACTAAACAGTTTATAACCGTTTGGTTAGGAGGATGATATGCCTAGAAGGGAAAAAGTATTTTTTGTACTTTAATAATACAATAAGTATTTTGACTGTTCGAAGAAGAAAATCATTTGAGATCGGCCACCTGTAAATTTTTTTAGAATATATAAGTTGCTAAAATAGTATAACGAAAATGTTATGGGGGTGTTTGGTATATTTTCTGGGAAATGTTCCTTTCATAATTCTATTTATATACTTTAAAATTATAATAAATAAAGA